CAGAAATTTGAGAGGACAATTACACGTTGGCCAATGCTGTGATGGTGTGACGAAATGAGAGCATTTCAATCTTTTCACTGTTCCACTGAGAAATTATTGAAATACACCTACTTTTACTGATACCATTTCATATTACAATCACCCAAAAATTAAAACCAGACCACATTGCTTCTGGAGCTTACAGGGTCTTCGCCACTGGAAGTTTCTCAAGGACAGGTGAAACCATTCGTGATAGTGCACTAATTTTACTTGGACAAACACATCTGAGGGACATGAGGGTGAGAGACTATTATTGCAGACAGGAAGTCAAAATCCAGCACCTAGCAGATGCTACTGCACCACCATTAATCTATGTGTGGGCATAATCCATATTAACTGACTGAAATCCAGAAACATTCAGAGAACAATGAGTTTTGATTCTCCTGGTTAACCTATGAATACAAAGCTGCAGACTGCTTGTACTCCCTTCTGCAGGCAGGAATCTTGCACTGAGTACCCATTTCTTAGGTTAGATGAAGGCTTCTTCTACCCAGAATGGTGGTTGGAGCACTGAGATGAAGTACACAAAGCCACTTCAGCTAACATAAAGCAGAGTTTGGTTCCCAGGCAAGTGTGCTACCTAACAGGCTGCTATGCTGAAGGAGGTATTTCCTAATCCCAAACTACATAATATCACAGATTTCATGATCTTTACAAAGTTATAGCATCCAGTTACAGTGACCTCCACATGAAGTAAATACATTTGAAATTTCAAATAATTTACAATTTCATCTGTAATTTCATACCAGTCTTTCTAAAGTGCTTTTTTTCTTATGAGAAGTTTGGGGTTTTTTTTTAATTTATTATCAGTGCTAGTGGTCCCAATCTTGACTTCTTCTAGTATTCCTCATTGTTCACCACCAGTGAGCATCACAGGATTTTTAGTTTCTTTTAAACTGGATATCAGCTCACAGAAGGATACAAGAAAAAACTGCAGCAAGATTAATTTGGTTATATAATGCAATACAATTACATAGCTAGCTAGTTTTATGTACTAGCACCCATTTCTGATGCTAGTCTGATTACAACCATATTTTGTTTGAGTGGTTGCAATTTTAGGGCTCAGAGACATTTCTAATAAGTATTTAGGATGACTTCCTTTCCAGTTATCCAGATGAATTTCTCTTGCAATCATGACATTCAACTCACTGTCACCTTTGCTAGAGTACTCCCCAATTTAAGTTGCTGAAATGGTGTTTTATCTTCTGCAACATTTCTACCTCTCCATTCATCCTCCATTTTTTGGCTAATAATAACACATTAAGTAACACAAATCTTACCAAAGAGCTGAATTGCACTGCACTACTAATACAAAACTTGAACATACATTCTTACTGCCTACTTTCCTTCTGTCAGAGGTGATCCATTTGAGAAACCTTGCTTCTCCCTTAACAACTTTGGTTCTGTCTAGGTTTTTCTACAGAAAAGCTGGAAAAATACTAAAGGAAAGTAACAGACATCCTTTGTGTAAACTTCCTCATCTCCTTTCCTGTTCATTTTAGAACAGATTAAAAGTTTTTTTCTGGTACTTTTTTTCTACCTACCATAGCAGTAAATACAAGTAATACTATTGACAGCTTCATTATTACAGAACACCTCGAGTTTTCTTGGAATAGCTGTTAAGATAAGCCTTTCTCCTTATCACAGCCTTTCTTACCACTCAAGCCTGCTTATAGCAAAGAATTCTCCTACTTAGACTGTTCCTACAATGCTAAGATACTGTATGTAAGTTTAAAATTGGGAAAAAAGTTCCAGAGAGGACCTGAAGTTTCAGAATCTCGAAGTTCTAGAATTAAGGAAAGGGTGAATATTTTTAACAATGCTTCATAAAGTATATAAATGTAAATTTAACTCTCTCCAGGACAAAGACTGTAGTCCTACCAGGGATATCACATGAGTAATATTATTCATTGTGAATATATTCTTTATTATTTAGTACTTTTAGGTAAAGTTTTAAATTTTCACAGCTGAAAATAAATATAATATAAATCCCATAAATATATAAATATAATATCCCATAAATACAATAATACACACTCATGCTTTTATGTGGTTTACTCTCTAGGTCAACTTAATGCCAGTAAAGTCAAAAGTCATGGTGCTGTTATAGCTGTGAAGATATTTGTATTTGAAGATATAAGTCAGATTTTGGAGGGAGAAGTACTATCTTTTACTAAATAAAATCATACAGCCAGGCTGCTTGCATTTAAGATATTGGCTTGTGTGCCTGAAAGCCTGCCTTTTTTTTATTAAGTCACAAAAATCACTACACCTGTCTATAAGTCTTTCCTTCCACATGGAGGGGGGGGAAAAATCAAAACAAGACTTGGAGCACAATTCTGAAACCTCAACAAATTAGAAGCAAACATCTGAATGTGTTTCTGACCATTGCTTGTAAGTAATGTTTCCTTTCTAAATGAACACTGAAAATCAAAAATTAAAAAAAACACTGAAAGTGGTCCCTTGGTTGCCTATTTTATAAATCATGGTGGAAGTAGAAAATCAACACTTCAGCACATAAACTTCTGAAATAATTATCTTTTTTAAGAATTACTGATATACTAGATGTTTTACAGGCTGGAAAAGACCTCAAGTAACTGCCAATCTGGTTTTTAGAGTGGAGGAAACTCAGACGTGTAAATGGACTTAAAATTTATAACTGCGGGCAACACTTTAGTAACTGATTTGTATGTATCAGAAAATTTACAGCAGGGATCTGAAAGTACAAACAAAAATGCTTTGCAGGTAGACTGAAAAAGGTATGCACAAGGGAGAAGGAGGAAAGATGTGGAACATTAGGACTAATAAATGCTAACCTTGAGAATGAATGCCTAGAAAATGATGGCACTCTAAAGAGCTAGTGCTGAGGGCTGCTTGCTTTTACTAAAAAATCAGCTATGAAACAAAATGGAAAACATGCAACTGAAATAAAGAAACTGGTATGAAATATTTTTTAAGGTACAGAAGAAAAAAAGAACGAAATCAGCTTAAAATTGTCTGAGGCAATGTATTTTTCAGATACAATATACCCACGGCACTACACAACTCAGTATGATTTACTGTTGAAAAAAACCAATTTTTAAAGTAATTATTTTGTAATTTCATATATTCTGAATCCCTGTGAGGTTCCTTATTTATCACAGGAAAGGGTGTACTTAACTATAAAAAACATTATTATGGGTGCTTAACTGAAGTACCAAGCAAATAGATGAGTAAAACCTGACAAAACTGTTCTAACAGATCTGGTTTCAGATCTGTAAGCACTTACGTCCCTTTATAGTATGTAGAGTAGCAATGGGCTTACTTTGATTGCACTGGTATTAATTATATAATACAATAGCTCTTCTGAGATCAATAGAATCATTCTAGCTTGGTGAAATATTTGAGTATCTCCTACTGTTGAGAAGCACTGCAGAAGTGTAATAATTAAATTAACAAATTAGTACTGCCAAACTCTTAGCATGATCTATGTTTATGCAAAATAAGTGATTGAAATTATAAGATTAAATGCAATTTCCCTTTTTAACCTGAGGCCTTCTGTCATATATGGCTATATGCATTCTAAATGTTTGCAATTCAATCCTGAACTGAACAAGTCATGGTATTGCACTTTTTCCTGTCGTTGTAAGAAGGTAACAACAAAGTAATTGCTACCTGCCAAATTTCCCTGTTTTGTTACTGTCTATATCTTACTGCAGATAGTTTACTTCACATCGTTAAAAGCTGAATAATTTTTTCAGAACTGTAATTCTTGTATTTTTAAAAACAATGTGACCCTAAAATATTATATATTAACATTGCCAAAAATAAACGTGAGAATACTGTACCTGCCTCCAACAATTTTTTGCGTATCTTCATTTTGTAGTTACACATTTAATTTGGCCATACATATGTGTGGTTAAGTAAGTTCTTTGTTTCTTCTCCTGTTTTCATAAGTGGTTGAAAAGCAGTAGTGGTAAACCATATTCAATGTTGCACTAAGATAAATTAACCAAGAAAATAAATTTTTATTCATGTGCTTTAAAATGACAAGCTGCAAAATGTTAACAGATTTTTATTTATTTTTTTAATAAAGAATCAAAATAAAGAAAATCCCTAACAACCCAGAAATATGTTTTTTGGCAACTTGTCTTATAATCTTTCCTATCTCTCCTGCCAAGTTTTCTGGGACACACTCTCATCCCCAGTCTATGAATATAGAGCAAGCATAACACGCACACAGCAAGTAACGACTTGGTTATGTAACATGGTGCTCATTTGTGCTTGAGAAAAGTTAAGCTGATGAAAGTAACTTGATAAAGATGGAACAAATTTACTGTTACCTTTTAGAAGTGAAAAGCCATTCACATAATTGGGGCATGACTGATGGACTTAAGGGAAATATGTGTTGTGCTCTCCATTCTCATATTTCTCCTTCCAGCAATTTGTTTCCATCCTTCCCATACTTTTGGTGGATGACCTACAACCAGTCTAGACCTCCAAATCAGGCTGCCAAAAAGTTGTGATGGCTGAATACTTAGAAATTCTTGTAATGACATTCATAACCAGCCCTTCTCCCATTCCCCCCCCCTCCCCCATTTTGTATGAGGTAAGCATTCTAGTGCTTTGTGACTGTTTCTGTCCACAAAGATCTGTTCCTGACCCCTCATATACAAAGCATGAATAATTTCCAAGGTGAGGGAATAATTACTGAAACATCTTTCCATCAAAAAAGCAAATAATTGTGTAGTGGTTTTTTCTCCATCAGAGTTCTAATGAGAACATAAAAGATCTCTGATCTCTGGGATGCAAGTCACCAGAAGCACCGTGAACAGGGCATGCAAACAGGGACTGAGGGACCAGCAGTTTGCTCAGAAGGGTTCATGAGAAGGGCTGTGCACCCTGCTTGTAGGTCCACAGCCCAGGGAACTGCTCTAGGTCTCTGCCATAGTGGTGGGCCCTCACCTCAGAGTTAAAACCAGCGTTCCTACAGAGGAAGTCCCTGAGATGTATGACACTTTCACCCAGAAGGAACTGGTAAGGAAGAAGACTTCAGTATAGATGGTAAATTGCAATGAGTGCCCAGACCCTCCTCATGGAGAAAAGGTAAGTACCTGCACAAGATGTGCACAGGCTGATGATCTGTTGTGTCAGGTTGCCAAGCTTCAGGAAACAGTTACTAGGCTGTGAAGTACAAGAGGAGACAAGTGGTTTCAGAACCATGCTCCTATGGCGGACACCAGAAGATGAGCACCTTGGACCCTGGTGACCTACAAAAGCTGGACTCTGCTTCAGCCACCACCCTCCAATATTACAATCAAAAGTAGATATGAAGCTTTAACAGCTTTGGACATCCAGAAGCAAGGTCTGCAAGGAGAAAATGTACCAGCACACAGTGGATACTGAATAAAGAAATGACAAGTACTCATAGCGGGTGACTGTTAAGGGGCACAGAGGCACCCATCTGCTGGCCTCCTAGAAGCTAAGGTCCAAGATATTGCCAAGAGAATGCCCAGACTTGTCAAGAGCACTATCCATTGTCACTCTGTCATGTGGACACAAATGTCACTGGAAGAATCTGGCAGAAATGATGACGAATAAAGAGCCCTGGGTGTGCAAGCAAAAAGTATTGGTGACCAAGTTACATTTTCTTCTATTTTACCAGTTAGAGGAAAGGGTGCAGCCAGAAATAAACATATAATGTAAATCAATTCCTGGATTCGTGGCTGGTGCTGTTGTAAGGGTTTTGGACATTCTTTGATTACTGTAGCCTGTCAGGGAGGCATGGGATCCATTTGTCTAGAAAAGGCAACGGAATCTTTGGCAGCAGGCTGACCAAGTTGGTGAGGCAGGCTTTAAACTGAAGGACTTGGGAAGCAGGGTCCAAAGTGGCAACACTCACACCATTGCAACCAACTGGCGAATAAGCCAAGCCAGCCAGAGCAGTGACAAATGTTCCTTAGCTTCCTCAAAAGCGGCCATTGAGAAATACAAGGGCGTTGCCAGGATGTGCGGAGCTCCAATTAGAAAAGCCAAAGCTCATCTTGAATTGAAATTGGCCAGAGAAGTCAAGAACTACAAGAAAGAGTTCTTCAGGTACATAAACAATAAGCAGAAACAGAAGTCAAATATTGGCCCACTGTTAAGTCGGAGAGGTGAATTAGTCACCAACAGTGACGAAAAGGCAGAGGTTCTCAACTCTTTCTTCACCTTTGTCTTTACAAGCACTGCTGAACCCCAGGCCTTTGGAACAAAAATCCAGGTTGATGCAAACACAGGCCCACCACAGGTGAAGGAAGAGTTGGTATATACAGGAGCTTGACCACCACATATCAATGGGATCTGACAATATGTAAAAAAGGGTGTTAAAAGAGCTGGTTGCTGTTGCTGTGTGGCTGCTCTCTGTAATCTCTGAGAAGTCGTGAAGGATCAGGGATATCCCACAAGACTGGAAGAAGGCTAACATCACTCCCATCTACAACACTCCCATCTACAAAAGCCTGAAGGAGGGTCCAGGAAATTATAGACCTATCAGTTTACTTCAATCCCCAAGAAAGTTATGGAGCGAATCTTCCTGGGGGCTATCACAAGCCAAGTGAAGCACATGATTAGGAATAAACAGCACAGATTCACCAAGGGCAAATCATACTTGACAAACCTAACCACCTTCTACGACAAAGTAACCTACTTGGTAGATGTGGGGTAAGCAGTGGACCTTGTCTACCTGGATTTCTCTGAAGCTTCTGATACAGTTCCCTACAGCCTCCTCCTAGACAAACTAATACATTATGGTCCAGACAAGTGATCCATGTGCTGGGTGGGGAAGCAGCTGACAGGCCCTACCCAGAGGTGTGTGGTAAATAGCTCCTTTTCCAGCTGTCAACCTGTCATAAGTGGGGTGTCCCAGGAATAGATATTGGGCCCAATGCAGTCTAATATCTTTATAAGTTATCTGGAAGATAGGATCAAGTGTACCTTGACAAAGTTTGCTGATGATACGAAACTGAATGGGGAAGTAGACACTTTGGAAAGGAAAGCCACCCTGCAGGAATATCTAGATAGGCTGAAAGAGTGGGCTAAGAAGAAACTTACGACGTTCAAAAAGGACAAGGTCTTGCACCTTGGAAAACATGATCCAAAAGTGCAGCACAGGCTGGGATCTACGTGGCTGGGGGCAGCTCTGTGGAAAGAGACCTGAGGTCCTGAGAGCCAGCAAGCTCCATATCAGTGAACAGTGTGCTGCTGCAACAAAGCAAGCCAACAGGACACTGGATTACATCAACATGGGCATCACCAGCAGAGATAAAGATATCATCATCCCATGCTCCTCAGCACTTGCCAAGCCACAGGTGGAATACTGTGTTCAGTTTTGAACCCTGCTATGCAAAAAAAAAGATGTGAACAGGCTGAAGAGGACCCAGAGAAGAACCACAAAGATGATCCGAGGACCACAAGACAGCTGTGTCAGGAAAGGCTGAGAGAGCTGGGTCTGTTCAGTCTTGAAAAAGCTCAGGGGAGACTTTATCACCATGTTCCAGTATTTAAAGGCCAGCTACAAAGAAGGCAGAGTCCCTTTTTGCAAGGATTCACTTGGAAAAGAAGAGGGGTAGTGGGTACAAGTTACTCCCAACTGGATACAAGAGGAAAATTTTTCACAATGAGAATTGGAATAATCTCCCAGGAAAGTGGTGGATTACCTTTACTCTTAGACCCAGTTCAGTAGCCTTTTCCTAGTACTTTAACCTTGCATTGGATGAATATGAATCTCCTGTCTGTTACGAAGTTAGGAAAAGCAGAAAGTTGTCTTCCTTCTTTTCCCTGTATTTTGCAGGGCAGAATATTGTGGCTTTTGAAACACTAATTCGCCTCCGGTTTTACTCTTTCCCAGTGAACAGGTCCAGTGCACATTACTATTGTCATAGTTATATTTCTAATACTTTTCATTCTAACTTAATTTCACCAGGTACCAACGACCTTTGCAGAGAGAAAATGGTGACATCAGCACCCATTTAGAAGTTATTCTTTGACAGAATAAAGACATTATTGCATAAACAAAAGGAGTTATTTCTTAAGTAGCACTTGTTGAACAAGGAGTTCTCACCAGGGATCAAGTAAGCAGACTTCTCAATTTTTAATTACAAGAAAAGGTCTGTATCTAATATGCTGTGTAATTGTTTATGTTGTTAAATTGCTCAAAAATTATCATCTTTCAAGAAAAATTCCATTATTGCAATCAACTCCCTAAGAAAGAAGAAATAAAATTGCAAGACTAGGACTTCTGCAAGTCATTCTAGAAAATTCCCTATTAGCTCCTGACTTTAAGAGACAGTATTTCATTTCATAAATGAAAACAACTGCAGAACAAATATATAGCCTTTATGTTTTTAAGGTGTAGAACACGAAATTCACTAGGAATGATCACGGCTATTCTATTAACTTGTGTTCTAAACAAAAAAGAAAGCTCTAAATGAAAGTATAGGCTATTTTTCTATCTCATAGAATCATAGAATAGTTAGGGTTGGAAAGGACCTTAAGATCATCTAGTTCCAACCCCCCTGCCATTGCCAGGGACACCTCACACTAAACCATGTCACCCAAGGCTCTGTCCAACCTGCCCTTGAACACTGCCAGGGATGGAGCATTCACAGCTTCCTTGGGCAACCCATTCCAGTGCCTCACCACCCTTACAGTAAAGAACTTCTTCCTTATATCCAATCTAAACTTCCGCTGTTTAAATGTCAACTCTTTACCCCTTGTCCTGTCACTACAGTCCCTAATTAATATCAAAACACTTCCCTATTTCAAAAGTTATTAGCATTACAGGGTACCAATTACAAAATCATCCATAAAAGTAATAAACAAGGAATCAGCCAGTACTGGTTTGAATAGCCTTCAAATATGGACCTAGCAGAAAAGGGCAAAGTTAAATCTGCATAAAGGGTTTGATGTTTTGAAACAAAGTGCCATGTTGTTATCTGTATGTATGAGATGAAGGATGTAAGCATATGGAGGTTATTGCAGTTTGATACTCATTATAATTCTCAAAATTATAAAGTTGTATTTCAGATACCAAAAAGGAGCAAAGGAAAAGGCTACCCACCACCTTGAGGCATTTTCATACCTGCATTGCTCTTTGATACCGACTTTAATGAATTTGGGCAGCAGTTACTGTAAATTATAACCTTCTTATCCAAAGCACCACAAAGACAGCTTAAGGTGTTTCCCCTTTTACGAAGGCATGTCTTACTTTGATATCTACATGATTAGCAGGGCCACTTCTGTATTTCAGTATCTCTGCAAAACACATGCTGCATATAAAAAGTCATTTGGCATATGTAAAGATGACAATCTCTGATATTTCCATCTGAATTATTATATGAACATACTTCAGGTAATAGGTACCATACACTGGTATCAGTATTATTATAGAAATGTAGACTGAAAGTTAATAATGTTTTGCAGGAAAGCTTAACAAATTATTGAATGTGGTGGGATGACAGTAACAGAAACTGCCCTTACTTCTCCAGTCTTCTACAAAATAAAAAAAAACACAGCTCATGTGACAAAGAATTGGATAAATGCAGATTTAGCTGTCAGGTAGAAATCTGGATGTAACTGAGCTTAAACCAAGAACTGGAAAGTAACTCTTTCAGCAAAGTCTACAATCTCAGTTGATTCCTTTTAATAAGTGAAAAAGCAGCAATTTCTAGTGATTATATAGATGCATACTGTTAGTTTTCTCCCTCATATTTTTAACAAAAATGTGATCAAAGTCAGCCTCTAATTTGTGAGCTGATAAAGACATCTTTTATTTATAGTTTTTACAGACTTCAGATAAATTCAAGATTGGCATTAACCACAAGAACCTGGACTGATGCTTCTGTACTGCTAACAACAGTTCATGGATTTAAGACATCTACGATATTCAAGAAAATGAAAGTGTGAAAATGCATCACATTATTAAGCTTACGTGCTAATTCTAAGAGCTTTACTTGGTTTACATTAAATGAGGACTGGGAAGGTTATCACTGCACATTAAAATGTATCAGGAACAAAGATACTAGGAAAAAAGAACTATTTCAGCTAAAAGACAGTAGTAAAAACAGAACAGATA